TTTAGGATTAATAATATATTGTAAGCCATCCAGAGTTGACAGTAATGGATGGCCTATAAATTTCCTAAATAAATAATAGCTAGATTGGATATTCAGAATGTTAGAGTTCAAGTGTTCTAAACAATGGGGAGTTGCCTTAGTTTCCACAGATTGTGTTTTAGAATAAGTTGTACTTTAGCTCTGCTTGATCTTGGCAATGTAATGTGGATAATGACCCATTGACATATGAGATCTAGGATGCCTTGAAGGAGCTCCTTTTTGATTGGATGTCATTTCTTGTATTAATATGGCTTCAAAGAAATCTTTGATCACTGCAAATGTATGTGCACTTTTCAAGTATATTCTAACAACATACTCCAATAATATGCAGATGAACAGCTAGGCAGCAAAAGTGAAGTTTGAGAGCTCTTAGAGCTGCAAAGATACTGCAAAAGTTTGGAAGGATTGACATCCACTACCTTTTCTTCAAGGATCTTCAGATCTACTGCTTCTGGCATTTGAACATACAGTATATCCTATAATTGTCAATCTTGTTTGGATGCTTAATCAGATATATGGACTGCTTATAGTCATGTATATATTTAAGGTATGAGTGTTGAATCTACATTAATGTTTGTTATGAACAGAGATTTGTTGTTCTAAGTCTGTTATGCATAGATAAAGAAAAAATTAAAGAGATTTCGCCATCAGAAAACAAGCCTGCCCCAGCATTACACAAGTTGAACTGACCTGGTTCAGGGAGCAAGTTTGGAGGTTGCATTAAAGGACAGAAAATAATCAATTGGGAAGTTTATTACAGTATTTTCTTTTATTGTGAGATGATTAATTTTGAAGTGTCTGCCTCTGTTACCAAAGTCTGTTGGCTGACTTGATTCCAAGAACAATTTGCCCTGACACACATTTGTAAACTGAACTGTACCTCACCATCTATTAATATTCTGTCCACCTGAATATGATATTGCAATCAAAAAGCCACCATAATTCTCTTTCCACTCACTAAACAACAGCCACAACCAAAACCCCACAAGTGCAAGATTCAAAGGGCATATTAATATACTGTAGCTGTGTACTACTATTTCAGAGTCAATGCTGCAAATCTGACAGAAAATTCCAGTTTAAAGAAAGAAAATAGGTTCACATCTTTATGTATATCACTCCTGGCCTTTGTTTGATTTTTGCCATTGTTCCTAGGCTAATGCATTTGTAAGCTTTATGTTATCCCAAGGCTGAAACACGTACAACTAATCATTTGTCTTCACAGAATTGCTTTGATGAAATAATGTTATCTTCAAATATTTGAAAGTTGACTGCATTGCTAAATATAAAGAGCATCTGGAGAAGACCTTTTAATCAGATCTTTCTTTATTATTCTTTCTTTATGTTATTATCATAAAGAATAACACTTTATGATAGCCTTCTTTTGTTAATTATCATGCATATTCACCTTTGTAATGTTGCCTGTAGGGGCTTTGTAGTGGAAACATGCTTCTATGTCTTGGCAGGAGTGAAATCTACCTGATGATGATGATGATGAAAATCACTAGCTGTTATCCATCTATGTACATATATAAAAGCTGTTTGCAGTAGGCTGCACTACACAGAGGATACTAGACCTGGAAACAGCCTGAACTGAAATCTCTGTACACCTGAGCATCGTTTGGATGGTCTTGGGCAAGTCATGATAAGCCAAGTCACCATCAGTAAAATAGGATCAGTATCAAATCTGATATTCTCTACAGAATTGCCATGAGCATGAAGGGGAATGTCTCTGAAATACTTTGGCATTATAAAACACTTCAGAACAATGACACAGTAAATACATTTTTCTCCTAAAAAGGGTATTTACACAGACAATCTGAGAATGGTAGGGTAGAGAGGTACCTGAAGGTACTGAGGATCAATTTATATAGACAGTAAAATAAAGTTTGTACACATGTGGTAGAATCCATTCTTTCTATGTTTTGCGGATTATCAGGCAACTTTGATATCTCGTTTGAAATTTTGTTGGCTACCCACTGATGTTGCACAAATGTGTTAAGATACATTGTGTATATTTGCATTTGTAAAAATTCAAACTCCCAAAATGCATGAATTCCCCACATACACATATCCATCTAAAATGCTTACTGGTATCCTTTAACCTATGGGGAAAAGGTCCATTTGTATTTTGTGTTTTTCTATAACTAAATTTGTATAAAATTATAAAAAGTTAAACAGTCCTGGGAATTTGTAGCCTGGACTCTTAGAAATTCTAACTCATGAGTCTTTTGTATATTTCTCCCACATACTTACACTAGAACCAAATGATAATCTTTTATCTAGATTGTTGCAGGTGACGGACTAAGTACTTGAATGGTCGCCATATAAAATATACGACATGGGCATGTTAAGGAGGCATGAGAACCAGTGTGGCATGGTTAAGAGTGTGGTATCTGGAACTCAGGCAATCTGGGTTCTAGTCCTCACTCGGCCATGGAGCCAACTGGATGACTCTGGGCCAGTCACAGACTCTCAGCCCAAGCTGCCTCACAGGGCGGTTGCGGTAAGCATAAGACTGAGAGGAGCAGGAGGAGAATTATGTAAGCCACTTTTGAGTTTGTTAAAAGAAAAAGAAAAAGAAAAAGCTGGAATATAAATCCAAGGAAGGAAGGAAGGAAGGAAGGAAGGAAGGAAGGAAGGAAGGAAGAGTGGATCCTGCCTGCACAGTGTTCATCAGAAATAATCTGTGGACCCCAGGTTATATTGCCCAACTGCCTTTAGCTTTCTGGCAAAAAAAGGGGGCTGTTGGACTGGATCCTGGTACCTCATTATAGACTCTGCCCATTCTATCTCCTCTTATTCCTTTCTTTGCTGGCACAAATGAAAGGTTAGTGGGGCACAATATGTAGTGAATCTCATCATAGGATACCCATCAGGCCACTGACACTGCTATAAATATTCAAGGCAGGGCTGGAAAGTATAGCTGCTAGTATTCCAGCATCCCCGGAAGCAGTCACCCAAGCCTGGTTCATTGTCTATGAACATCACCAACCATAAAATTCTACATCTTACATAGTTCCAATCAACCACAAACCCTTCTATGACCATGGAATCATTCAGGGTCAAAATCCTGAACCCCTGCACAATGCTTCTCCAGAGTTCTCTACATTACCGATGGGATGGGATGGGATGGGATGGGATGGGATGGGATGGGATGGGATGGGATGGCAGGGCAGGGCAGGGCAGGGCAGGGCAGGGCAGGGCAGGGCAGGGGTGGGCTAGGCTAGGCTAGGCTAGGCTGATGGGGGATGGATATACATGGAGTTGATTTAAGGTATATGGGAGCAGCTCAGACACTGAAGAGTTTTGGGTATAATAGTAAATAAGTCATAGGGAGGACCTATAAAACCTGATTTCTGAAACCAGTAACCCACAGAGATTTGCAGTATGACCCACCACTAATGCAATTTTTTCATGTGCAGGGCAGTTTTTCTTACATGCAGTCATCAACGGTTCAACCCACCACCTAATGCTGAAATTAGAATGAAGTCCAGGAAAAGCTACCCCACTCAATTATGCTGAACCAACCAAAAGATCTTCCTAAGACAGGGGAAAGAAGAAGAGAAGAATGAGAGGGTTCAAGTCCTTCTCTAAGCATGGAAAATAGGATTCAACCTAGTAGTGTTCACTCAGTTCAGTGAGTCTTTTGAAAAGTGGGGGAGCCCAGAAGAGATTAGTGGGTTTAAAAAAGCAGAAACATGTTGTGTGCAAAGGAGGGCCTCAAATCTCTGCAACAAAAGTAATTCATCACTGATTTGGGTTGATTGCATAATAAAGTAAACTGAGCTTTAGCTGTGGGTAGTATAGAAATGAAATAAGGGAAAGAGAGATGGAGGAGGAAGAAGCCTTGCACAGGTTGATATAGAACTGAAGAGAGGAGCAGTCTAAACCTGACCTAGTCCAGTTATCTGTGAGAACTTCAGCTGTCATCCAATAACCATTATAGAGGGGTCAATTAAGTCACCAACTATACTGTGAAAGTACTAAAGTTACAACTTTTTTTTGTACGAAAGCACTTCCACTTCAGAATTGGAATTCTTTGCTGACATATCAAGGCCAGCAGGTCTGCAGATAAGCCAAGAGGCCAGTGAGAATTGGATCATATCAAGTTCTGTGGGCAACTCTTTTCAATAGCTGAAATCAGATGGGGAGGACTTAACTTTATTAGTCTGCTTATACAGTGTCAGATCGAAAGTAGTGTTAAATGTTCCCACCAATTGGCCTACAAGCAGTATGGCCAACCTGAAGGTACAGTTGCCTCTTTTTGAAGAGAAAGGAGGGAGAGGTACTCAGTTTGGAATCAACCTCATATTGTTAAAGCAGTTTTCCCCAATAGCTCATATTTTAACTGAGTGGTTTTTTTGTTGCTGACTTCTGCAATAGTCTTCTTTTGTATCATTAGCCAGCTTAGCTAGCCAGCTTTATTATTTTAAAATAATAAAGGCTTTGGCCTTTTGTCCAAATCTGTTTAAAAGGAGTAGCAGGAAGACCAGCTTGTGACAGGTATTTTCTCAGTGTTTCTACAACCAAAGGTGCTTCCAATAAAAGCCCCTAAAAACAGGACACTAGCAAAAAGAACCCTGGAGAGTTGATTTCTGGATGGAACGGTGAAAATGGAATTCTATTAGCTTTCAATGCAAGATCTACTTGAAGAGACAAACCATTAAGAGGTCTCATAATGCTAATAACACTTTAGGTGAACCAAGGAATCCTTACACAGGTAAATGCTGAATTCAATTAAGTTATGCCTTTGAGCAGTCATTACTCCCTAATCTGTAGTCAGAGGTAAGTTAACCACGACAACTGTTTGAAGAACATATCTACTTTGCAACTTGAGATTTGTCTTTGCAAGTTTCAAAACATGGTAGACCTCCAGGCCCCCCACCCACTACTACAACCACTTCTATTTGGTCAGTATTTGGCTCAACATACTTATGAACAATGAAAAAAAGTAAACTCACATGGTGCATAGAACATCACTAATACCGAAGAATGCTCCTTAATAAACTTGTCAAAGTCATCATCCGTTAGGTGATACACAGCATTATCTTCTTCTGACCAAGGAATCTCAGGGGTCTGTGGCTTAGGTGGCTGAGGACTATAAAAAACAAAAAGGTAATGTTCAGAAGAAGCTACCAGGAAATAGACAGCAGCTACTTTGGACAACTAGATTTCAATACGTTGACATCAACCCCAGTTTCTGGATCCTGGGACTAGACTGCACCCCATATCAATCCAGCAAACTCGTCGATATTAAAGGGATGGGGCCCTTAAGCCCCTGCCTAGATGGCATCCACCCACACATCTATTTTTCCTTTCTCCATTTTTGTCTGCATGGAGACAGGGACTCAGTTGATTCTTAGAGCAGTAGTTCCCCCAAGCACCAGCTAAATGAGGTGGCTATTTTTTGAAAGCCAGTTGAGCTGGAATGCAAAGACAAGGAACAGAACTCCTGAAAACACCACCCACGTCAGGCATCTTCATCATACACTGCATGCTGACCCAAAGGGAAGGGCCTCCACTGGAATTTGGCATGCCTTCCTGTATTTAGAAATGCAAAAGAGGAGGGGGACTACAATGCCAGGACAGGTCTGATGGAAGTCTCTTGATGGGCTGAACTAGGAACCTCCAAAGGCCCAATCTGGCCCACTGGCCAGAGGCTTCTCATCACTGTTCCAATGTGCTAGCCACGTTCAGGTTGATCGAAATGTGAGACTACTGTAACCAGGGAAGCATCAGGCACTGACATTTTAGAAACAGCAAAAATAATTATGTTATAAATAAAAATGGCTTTTTAATGGAGCAGCACATGCTTTGTTAGCCTCATTCTTTTTTTTGCTGTAACACACCTACTGAGATTTGACAATAACATTGAAAAAACCTATTAAAATCATCCAGTAATAAAGTTGTTTACAAATACAAGCATACAAAAGGTATCATTCAGTATTCTGAATTATATCACATTCAAACACACCCTGCATCTCATGGTCCCCAGCATAGCCAAAAATGAATGTATAAACATTCTAACATACAAAGAATGCAGTAAACAAAATGAAAATTCAAGCAGAAATCACTAAGCAGTAAGTGAATCAAGGTTTATAGAGCAAGCCAATTCCAAGCTGGTTGCCCAGTAGAATGAAACACTTCCAAATGATGCCTCTTTGCTTTATATTGCACCTTTTTTAGTCGCCATTAAAACAAACAGCTCAGAAACTCATGTTTCATGATAAACTCAGTTTTTGTGTCTCAGATCAAATATAAAATAAAAAAGAAACTTTGCATGTAGTACAGCTCTTTATAGCTATCCCCTTGATGTGCTGGGGGAGGGTAGTAAGGTAATTGTGAATTTAAGTCCGGATTCCAAAAATCATGAAATTCTGGTTACTTCGAAGAATTCCATTGATAGTGAATGGCAGATCTATGTCTGACCTTACACACCATTAGCCAGATACCTTTATCTAGTGGAAAAGAAAGGGATTGAGACAGAGTTGTGCGCAGATCTTCATGTATATAGTCACTGCACAGACTTAAAGGAGTGTGTCAGGGCACATTTTTAATTCCTCGTATCTCCTCCAGGTAAATATTCCTTATTTTATGTGAAATAAAACCCAGAATAAAACACTGTTTATATAATGAAACAATATGAAGTGTGTGTATGGTGCCATTTCGAAGTGCTCAAAACATTTTATGTGCACTCTCACAATTATCCTGGCAATGACCATGACATAAAATAGCATCATGGCTGTATTTCCAGTGGAGATGCAGAGGGAGCAATGGGCTTGGGGCTGCGATCAGGTTTGAAACACAGACTTCTACCTCAGAACTCCTGCTCCGAGACAGTGTGTGACACTATGGTTTTTTCAAATAAAATAAAAATAAATGTGCAGTTTAACTCTGACAATGCTGTCAGAATCTACTCAAACTGACAATATTCAGAGGTGGGTCTGTGGGCCACAGAATGATGGGATTCAGCACGTGCCCAGGTGGTGAACTGGTCTTGCCCACCAGAGTTGGTCTCTGGAATCGCCAGGACAGGAAGAACTCTAAGAGGACATTTTGTTTCACTGAGACCTTCCTGAACTGCAGTGAGTGCCTTTCAATTGCCCCTTAGTCGTGACGTCTGGCCTTTTCCTCAGTTCTGTCTCCTGGTGTTGCCTTCAGTTATGGCTTCACTCCACTATTCCAGTCAGTCCCAGTTGCCTCTCCTCAAGTCTGGTTCACCCTTAGGCACCCTTTGGTTCTGGCTCCTTGAGATAACTCCTGGCTTGTGGCTCATCTTAACCCATACCCTATCGCCTAGTTCTCAGAAGCATAAATTGCCAATGCATCTGAAAATAATTAGAATACTAATACTGATACTGATAACTTGCCATTTTACCATGCTTTGGAATCATGAAATGGATTTATCGACTTTCTCTGTAAGTTTGCAGTATCTCTTAAGAGAGGTAAGCATTATCATCTTCATATCACAGCTAGAGGCTGATGCTGAGACACTGGTTTGATTAAAGCTACTCAGTAAATTCATGTCTCTACAAGTGAGATCTAAAATTACTTCTTCCCGGTTCTCATGCTTATGGTCTACAATCCAGAAGTTTTAAATCAATAACCTTATGTATTAATGCTACTACTCATACATACATGAGATACTATCTAGGCAAGGTAAGGTACTTGGTCTAAAAACAGGAGAGATAAAAATGCTTTTATTTCTTCCATTTGTGTCACTATTGGGATTAGGTTAGGAAGTGCACCAAGTCTGGCATTTCACCCACTTCATCAAATGCATGGAGTGTTACAGAGAGTTTCAGGCAGATATGAATGTATATGATGGAGGTGGGGATCATAAATCATGAAGATGGGAGGAAACAGAGAAAGTACTGACAGTAATAGTGGTATTATTAGCAGTAGCTATTTATAAAAGTATTCTAGCAGATAGCATAAGCACCTTGGCAGTAGAGTAAGGCAATTAATACAAGTTTGCAACACAATGCCACTTCATGGCTAAATTGGAAAGGCCAACAAAGCAAGGATACCACTTCTACTTTGCATCAGTTTTTATAAACAAACCAATAATGAACCATTCCTGTTTTCTAGATGTTTTGTGTCATTCCAGAACTCTGGCCTGTTAAAGGAAGAAACAACCCAGAGTTTTAAATCAACATAGAGTATTGGAGTCAGGTGCCAAATCAAACAACTCAGGAATGAACAATTCCTGGTTTGTGAAATTTGATGCGGCACAGAAGCGGCAGATGGTTATGAGGCAGCATGCTTGTTCTCTGCCACATGGAACCAACTAACTAGGGGCTCATCGACCCACAGTGCGGCATTATGTGCAAATCAGGCTACAGAGCAGTAAAATGCTGCATTCCAATTTAAGCCTCTAGCAGTAGAATTAATCAATAGGTCCATTTCTATCTCAACACTGTCACGCTAATGGCTGCCTTAGACCAACAGTTCCTCAGCTCTTGTTCCCAAAAGCCTCTTCTCTGCCTGAGAACTCTCAGTGGAATTTTTATTATATGGACTCATGACAGGATGACAAAACCGTAATGAAGTTCCACCAGGACTTCAACAACAAGATGAGGAAATACTGTATTACTCTGTATCATGGAAACCAGGTTTCTGAGTTTGTTCACACTTAACCACAATGAGTTAATTAACCTGAGGGCTTCATAGCAAGCTCTGGACATCGTTTTGAAAATGCCATCATGCTATGGCTTGTCACGTCATAAAAATCTGGGAGCTGTCAGTTATATGAAGATTAAACAACTCTCACAAAAGCAGGGTTAAAATTCTACTCACTGCTACAACTACCAAGAAAAATCAGGAGTACCAAGAGGAGGCAGGAAACATGAGAAATACAGAATAATAAGGGGCAAGATTAATCCTTAGTCTGGCCAGTTTAGATAATTAAAATATTTTCAAAATTATTTAAAGGAATATAAACAGAACCATTTCCAATGAGATGATTCAGCTTATTGCAATACCAGAATACATCCTTCACTATATAAAAAGAACCAAATGCTCAAGTTTCAACCATTCAATTGTCCGATTTCACAAACTGGGACACTTCACTTGACATAACCAGTGAAAACAAGTCTTCACACACATGCCTGTCCATTTTATTCTTTTTATCTTTTAGGTGTTCACTGCTCCAGACTCATGAACTTCAGATTTATAATTCTTTTCTACGAGTACTTCATGACATGGCTCAGACTCCTCTGGATCTTATTCAATTCTTCAGGCACACTACATATTATATTCAAGCTTCCTGTTCCAAGTGATTCTGATTCCTACACACCTCCAGGCCTCTTCCATTGTAATCCTGAACAAAGGTTCGTGAAGGATTTAGAACCAGAGAAGTCCTGACACTGCCCATGGGTCAAATTTGACACAACAAATATCTTCTACACTCCAAGGAATGGCCAGAGACATACCTATTGTCATAAGAGTAGATGACAAAAGAGGGTCTGCTATCATATAAAATCAGCAAGACTGAGGCCAAAATCAACATACTTTTACCAGATACAGCTTGTTATACATTGTGCATGAGAGAACCAACAAAAGAAATAACAGACAAATGGGCTATTATATCTGAGTCGGCATGCAAATTTTGCACAATGACAACTCAGGGATCCAATTTTCCATACACGCCCCCAAATGCAGAAGGGCTTACATTCAAAATTGGGACATCCCACATTTTGTAGGAACATTTCAGCATTGAAACTTGCACTGCAATATGTGAATTTTTTTGAAACATTTCATTCTGGGCATGAAGACTTATATTTGGGATTTTATGGATTTCCTATCAAAGCTGTGTACACTAAAGGTACTAGAAGATTTGCTTGTTACTTTGAATGTAATGTCACTCTGTATTAGCACTCCAGAGACCTAGGCAATAAGTATTCTACAAAAGAAATTGAAGGAATACTCTCTAATAATATTCCTCCCCGCATTGCATGGCATTTTTTTAGCAGACACATTCCTCTGTAAAAATCATTTCATGTTTAATTTTTGTTTTTACTGGCAAATGAAGGAAGTGGAAATGGGTTGTGCTATGGCTCCAGTGGAGGCAATCTATATCTCAATGACAGAAAGTAT